ACGTAGGAAACATAACTATTGGTACACCTGGTCAACCGTTCGTCGTGGTACTTGACACCGGCTCTGCTAACCTGTGGGTTCCACACAAAAAATGCGAGTAAGTTTTTCCAGGCAACTTGTGATTTGATAACGACAATACATTGAGGCAGTAAGGGATCGTGTTTCCAAGCTATGAATTTCGAAAAGGCATACTCTTGTGAACAAAGGCACATTCTGGGATGAGGGGAGGGGGAAAAGAGTGTTTCACTGCTATCCAGAAAGTCCTTCATGTGAAAGAAGTTACTGAAGGACAAACAAAACCAGCTAAGGACAACTTGAAGGTTTCATTTTAGCCGTTCTTGTACTGGAAAGCACAAGTTTGAAATGGAAAGATCCAGCACTTTCATTCCAAGCAAAGAAAGATGGAGGATACAGTATGGTACCGGCGACGCGAGGGGTGTACTGGGAACGGATATCGTCAGAGTGAGTGCAACACATTGTAATTGTACCTTTCCCACAGTTTATCCACCATCTAATTGAAATCACCGCTTTGGTTTCTATGACAACAACAACAAAACAGAATAAAAAAGAGGGATTCAGGTGAAAATGAGCTGCCTGTTCGAAGCTTTTCAGCAGGTGATAGCCGGCGATTGAGACATTAGAACGGTCTGGTAGAAAAGTGGTTACCTAGAAGGAATAACGCTGTGGTACGCTGTAGTCACCATGGCAAGAGAATATTCGACAGTTTAAACAACTGAATTCCTCGGTGGTCCTATCACGGCGCTCTGGTGCAACGTCTATGGCGACCCGGGAGCCCGAGTAGTGAACCTGACCGCAAGCTCAAGCTTCTGAAGGAGAAAGGGGATCCCCAAGGGAAAAGTTTTAGCCAAATCTACACACATCAGAAAAATCTCGAAATCAAAAATCAAAATCTGGCCCGCTTTTCGAGGAGTAAGTATTCAGGAGTAAGTAGAGTTTTGGGGGTTATAAAGAATGAATAGTATAGGACTTACAAATGAAAATTTTAGTTTGGTGGAATCGATGAAGATCAACTCGCAGTACCTAAGACGACGTTCGGCTTGGCCATGCATATATCGGCGGATTTCAAGACTGTAAGAACACTATCTCGTGCTGAAAACTTCAGTTTTGAAGAAATGGATCCACTTTGGTACAGTTAGGCCTTCGTTGCAGGACCCAACTGACGGAATTCTTGGACTCGCGTTTACTTCACTCGCTGAAAACGACGTTGTTCCCCCACTTATTAACGCCATCAACCAGAGTAAGTTCACCACAATTCGAAAGAATCTCACCGTTGAAGGTACATCGTGTAGGCGGAGAAGGCTGCCCTATTTGTAACTTCTTTCACATGAAGGACTTTCTGGATAGCAGTGAAACACTCTTTCCCCCTCCCCTCATCCCAGAATGTGCCTTTGTTCACAAGAGTATGCCTTTTCGAAATTCATAGCTTGGAAACACGATCCCTTACTGCCTCAATGTATTGTCGTTATCAAATCACAAGTTGCCTGGAAAAACTTACTCGCATTTTTTGTGTGGAACCCACAGGTTAGCAGAGCCGGTGTCAAGTACCACGACGAACGGTTGACCAGGTGTACCAATAGTTATGTTTCCTACGTACTCATAGTCCGAGTAGTCGTCCACCTTAATCAAGAAAGAGTTGAGCAAGTGCGGCACTTCTGAAGGACCGTAGCACCCAGCAGTAAAGAACAGCATAACTTCTGGTCATTAGAGCACATCTTGATCCCTAGGAAGGAGGTCCTATTTGGTCGCTGGAAGGAGAGAGACCGTATTTTGCAGGAATTTCCTTCAACAGCGGGACGTGCCTCTGCAGCTCGTTCTCGTGAGGCCTGTGAGATTGACAGTCATGATCCTTGCAAACAATAGGCCGTGGACGGGGGCATGCATGGCATGGAGCGCTGCCAGGTCAGATTTCCCATCAGCTGTATCGGGCTTAGGGTTACATGTTTGATGGAAAAAGGGCTCCCCGCTTGCGCTACAATCCGCGCTGCGTCACAAGCTCTATCGCTAGCAGGAATTATGACTGTTGACACTCTAGAAGTGTACGAAAGTGAACTGCAAGAGCATATTTCAGTGAACGAGGCCTTAGAGGCATCCAGTTAAGCCACCAGAAGGCTCCTAAGGATTCACAAGGAACTTGGGGAGCACCTTCGATGTTTCAAGTTTTGTTACCTGAAACCAGAATTTCCGCATTCAATTGCCCGAAAAGTGAAAAGGAGCTCTAGAAAGTGTGAGATATCCTCAAATGATCCTTGCTTTCAGTCGATGTCGTCGCACTAGTTGGGACGGCTTCGGAAGGGGTCTGGTGAGCACACACGCGGCCTTTTCTACCACTGACTGTTTTTTTCTCAATTGTGCACCAGCCGTTCACTACTGGAAGAACAAAGTTACTGGGAACGGACTTATTTACCGCCCTTTCAGACACCGAACCGACTCATTTCGACGGTATCAGCTGCATTTTAAGAGTCCTCATGTGTTATAAATATGGATAATCACTGAATAGGCACTAACCCGTTGTCCCATAGTGTCTAAGTTCATTTACAATCGTAGTGCCGAACTCCAAACGTTCTCGGTATTGGGCGTACACTCCGCGTTCAATCATTTGGATCTGAATTGAAGCGATGATCTTCTCTCAAATTAAATACGTTGAATGCATTGTAAAATAATTTCCTATACTACTATGAATACAATGAATGATTAACGTGTGGGTCGAGGGGGTTATTCTGAAGACCACAGTTCACGTTAATCGTGGGGGTGGAGCCTGACCTAGCACGGTGCGTTCTTCATTGACGCATAGATGCGTGAAAAGGGGGGTCGCACCAGCGAAGAAGCACAGTGGCATTTCGGTCCCCATCCACACGATCGCGTGGATCTTGTTGCCCACTTTGACCGTTGTCTCTACTCTACTCTCCATGAATGCTGAACCTTCTTCGATTTCCTCCATATCATTGGATGGCGATGGACGGCAGCCGTCGCCAAGCCGACTAGCAAGGCTAGTACAAGTAAATGCATCTTAAACGACTTTTTGTGAACAAAATGTCTGAAACATAGAAGGAAGTCCACTCTATTCGAGTACTTTGCAGACCGTTTAGAAAGGCTAAGGAAATCGGAAATGAATCTTCTGTGAGAGGCGCTTAGAGGTCTTTCTCCCACTAAATGGGCTAGAAAGGGTGAAGTCCGGAACCGCCTACTAAGGTTTTGGGTAGTGATGGCAGACCCGTCCTTCAATATCTGTTGCAGGCCTCTCCAAACGGACCTAC